AGATGCGCCGATTTTACGTCTTTCTTGACCACCCCTTTGGCCTTTGATGCTCAACCCCTTTTGGGCTTAAAGAGCTAACGAACGGCCCACTAAGTGTCTATAAATCAATGAAATATAGATTTAGTCCTATATTCCCAATAAGCCTGCTGGTGTGTAAAAGGCACCTTTACTTTACCTATAAGGAAAGGGACTTACAACCCATGGTGATAGCTAGTGTGACTAGCAAGACCCACCTGCGTTAACTCGTTTAGTTCCCAAGCAATTATTATCTTAAACCCTTCTATTGTAAGGAGTTGAGATTAAGAGAAATAATATTTTATTTTATGCGAAGGAGTTTAAAAAGAGGCACTGTAGGTCACAATGGTTTAACCTAATATTCTACACTGGATTTATAAAATGACTGTCTGTGACGGAAGACAGCACTCACATTTTGTATCTTTTCAAAGGTAACATAGCGTCAAGTGCGCTGTTTTGGTACTGAAAGAGTTGAGAAATTATAGCATGGGACTTCGGGATCGTTGTTGTCAACATTTTTATTCAGTATGTTTCTTCTCAGACGCTCAGCCTACATCCTTTCTTATAATAATAATAATAATAATAATAATAATAATAATAATAATAATAATAATAATAACAATAATAATAATAATAATAATAATAATAATAATAATAATAATATTAATAATAATAATAACATTAAGAATAATAATAGTCATAATTATAATACAATCACGACAGGTCGTAATGTAGCTCTGAAAGAGATGACGTTCCAAGATACGATATACAGTCACATGAGGAACAACGTCAATGTTAGCTTTACGTCGGACAAAGCCGTGGACGGCAACACAGAGAGGGATTTTCCCAACGGCCTGAGCTGCTCCTCAACCAATAATCAAGTGGCATCGCAATTTCCCGTCCCCACATGGATGCTGAAACTATCAAAGCCGCGGGAAATTAACAGATACCTCATACACAACATACAGAACAAGGGGAGTTGTAAGTAAAGTAATTTTTTTTTTTTTTTTAAATCCAGAAACCATGAGTTGTTAACCCTGTGGCTCGGTACTATATTTAACGCAACCCTTTGGCCTTGATTCCACAATAGCTACCGTAAGTCTGTGAGAAATGTGGCTTTTCTGCTTACCCGCGGACCACAAGGAGTTCGTCACCGGGTCACCGCGCAGTCCGGTTTAGCCAACTGCGCTAGAGAGCCGGGCTAAGTATAGTAATATAAATCGTTATTACCGACTCGCTTAATTAGGAAGAAAGCCGGACTAACGTGATAAAAATTATGGTCGTAGCTCAGATGTTGATGCCTGGTTAGCATGATGTTTGTTTGTTTATTCAACGGATCAACATCATGGAACACAGGTGTAACCCATAATTGGTCTGTTCTTCTTCCCAACTCAAGCCTGATTTAGGTGAATCTCAGTGCAGGCACAAACTCTGTAGCACTGGCGAGGATCCTGAAATACTTTGGGTAGATTTTTGACCCCGAATTTCGCCCGGGCAGCGCCGGTTCGCTACTCTTTTCGATTGCAGCTGTCAAGGATTTTTTTTTTAGTGCGCAATAATACACACGTGCGTCGGTCTTACTGCCAGAGAAGAGGGAACATTCTCAAATTCCACGTGAAAAAGTCATAGCCTTCACCGGAGCTTAAACCCGGGACCACTAGTACTAGAGGCGGACACGACGCCTTGAGACCAGGCAGCCCCGCTGCTTAGCATAAAATGACTTTAACATGAACTCGATTTCATTCCCTTTGAATTCATGTTAAGTATATATATATATATATATATATATATATATATATATATATATATATATATATATATATATATATATATATATATATATATAAATATATAAAAATATAGTTGTTCTATATGTCAGTCTGGTATGTCTTTGTATTACTACTTGACTATGAGTGTAATGTGCATTTCTCTTTTCTGTAGACTTAACTACTTCTTACTTTTCGCCATTTTCCCTACTCAAACACTTTCTTCGCATCCTGTTCATACCATTTATCCTCTATGGGCACCAAGGCCCTGAAAGAAATCACGCCAAGGTGTGCATATTTTTGCCATTTACTACAGCTTATTCTATCTCCTATATACGAGAGACATATTTTTTTATGCGTGTCTCTGTGTGTGCGCGTGTACGCCCTTGTGCGTGTGTGCGACATGAGTATTTTTTGCATGCAATTTCTGAAGTTATACATTTGTAATCCATACCTATATTACTTTAAATTTTTTCTATGCATTTTATTATATGAACATAATGTGATTGAGATATAAAAGGTCCGACAGTTAAATAATGAGACTAATTCCATAACAATTTAAATCATCATCAATTTAAGATATAACCTACATTTTTTTTTAAACCATTGAAATGGCACCGTAAGTTACAGAAATTTATATTAACGAAGCATATGTCGAATAACAATCACAGCAACAATTTACGAACACAGTAGACCTTAATGCTTTGTCTAGAATACACAAACATTTACGAAAGGTATTTGATTGGTAGGCTTCGGTGTGTATACATCATTCCTATAAATAAACAGAGGGGGAACCTTCGAGGCCGTTAAATATTACGAAATAATCAAGTAACAGGAATTGAACCTGTCACCTCCAGACGGCGTCAGCGCCTCGCCATGAATACAATTGCACTAAGAACATGATTAACTAGGCTAAGTTGTGCAGAGCCTGCCCCAGTATGTCCCCTCTTCTGTTTTCAGCAGACCTGCATTTCCCAGGGAAATGATCCAGACAATACCCCTTACCAGTGAGCTCCGAAGAGAAGCATGAAACTCTGCAGGAAACATGTCTGTTTTCTTATCTTCCTCATCATCTTTCCAAGTCTGTTACAATCGCAATGTGTGTGTCCGTGTTTATCGTGTTTTCTGACCAGCGCAAAGCTTTAGTGACCACCTCAACCGAAATTCATTTGCTGAATATCGTGGTCTGCTACCGTAGGCCCTCTTACACCAAACGTCAATAAGAAGAAACTCCACAAGGGAGCATGTACAGCAGGAGTCTACCAATCATCAGTAGAAGTAATCTCTCATCGACAAATGTTAGGGGCCACGAGCTCCTAGACATTTTCAGAGAGTGGGCTGATTTAATGAAGCTCAGGGTTTATTTTCCCCTGCTGCACGTATTACCGGATGTTCTCGGACAGGGACAAGACGAAATTGGTGACTTTGCAAACGGTACTGTGAGATACTGTATTTATATAGTCGCTGCGGTAACATAATTAAAGCAGTCTGCAAACTTGGACGACCAAGTGGCAAGCTTACGGTCGGTTTATCAGACACATGTTAGACTTTGTTGGCAGATGGCAGAGATCACTGTCAGACAATTCGGACACGATGGACTTAAAGGGATAAATTTATTTTCCGCTAGACACCTAGACCAGCTCACGGAGGCCCATCCCCCACGACGTTCCGTTGTGTCCAAAGCCAGCTTGTGGCCCTCTCAGCAACCTCGCCCAGTTGTTTTAGAGCTCATTTGCGCTCATTTCCTCGCAAGCCTAGTTGTTTAATCACAGTGTACATGGAAGTGGAAACGAGACCTCTTGAGCCTACCTCGACGGTGAAGATTCTGCCTGTGTACGCTTCGTCTCTCCTCAGACCATCCGCTAAGTCACTGTACTTCTTAAGCTTATACATGTGGCTTTCGTCCATTCGCGACTCACACGCACGGTCAGCTCGATCAGGATGAGCTGACGTTTCTCGGCAGAGTGTAGGACTATGTCGGGTTGTAGGTTGGTCTTCCGAATTAACTCTGGGTATTTTTCGTGACTGTCAAGTATCGATGGAGCGTATGCGACCTTGTTGAATTTACCTTCGCATTAGCCCTTATCCTAGCTTGGTCCACAACGGCCCCTAAAGCTTTCAGTACCTTGTTGTGGCGCCAAGTATATCTACCCTGATGTATTATATACATACACAGATACATGTTTCTCTTCCTACCTAAAAAAAAAAGTGCTGATTTAATTAATTTTTTTTTTTTTTTTTGTCTTTCGCAAACGAAAGATCTGATGTCACAACTGATGGGTTTTCGGTTGGAAAGTTTTGACTCCAAGAATGCCTCACTGTTTGTGTTCAAAGACGTAAAGCCAGATGCACAGGAATTTTACAAGATCTTCCATGCGACTCTACCCGTTCAGGCAGTAATAATCACTGCCAAGAACAGAAATTCCACTCTGGCACTGTGTGAGGTTGAAGTTTACGGAGGTAGTGTGTGGGTTAATGTTTTAGTGTGCTTGTTTATACAATGTTGTTTCATAGCTGTCTCTTTCATTTTGTTTTTAAAAAAATGTGGAAGATGGAGGGAAAGAGCAGGAGGAGGAGGGAGAGGGAAAGGAAAAGGAGGAGGGAGAGGATAAAGAAGATAAATGGGGTAGAAGACGAAGAAAAAGAAGATGATTAGAAGAAGATGATAATAATGATAATGATCACGAGGAGGAAAGAAAGCTAAAAATCGTAAATAAAAGGAAGAATTAAAGACAGACAACAGACCGATACACATGTAGACATACAGACAGACATACAGAGATACAGGACTACAGTCAGATGGAAAGGCAGACTGAAACAATTGCAGGGTTGGCAATTAATAGTAATCGCTACTCGGCTCTTACAGTAAAGGGCCATTTTCCATGCCAGTAACCTATTAGGCATATCAGGCTAGACCTATATTTCCTAGACCAATCGGCACTTTGTTGGGTGATATAGCAAGCATCTCGCCTTCATTTCCCACAACTGTATCTGGTACCTACTAAAGAATGGGTCGACCTGAGAACCAAAGTCATTCAAGACCCGAACCCTCTGACCTTCTGTTCGTCAAGCGAACGTCTTGCCGCTACCCAACGGAGACTCTCTAGCTGTGACACCACTTAACCTTCCTCTTTCTTCAACCATGTCCTTGTTGCTAAGTGCCTATGAAATTTGCTACATCTAGAACTGCCTCCCCCACCAAAACCCCGTTGATTACAGAATCCATCTGCGACAATCAGCACTATGGGCGTGAGTGTGAACTGACATGCCCGATGTGCCCATACAATCAGCCTTGTTTTGTAGCCACTGGTGGATGTCCTGTTGGATGCCCTCCTGGTCTCTTTGGTCCAGGGTGTTCGAACAGTAAGCTGTGACCAATGCCTTTGCTTGTTGTCCATAATTAGTATCTGATGTCCTCATTATCTTCTCTTGCATCTGTTGACTAGATCAAACGCCTTCTCTTAAATATAATTTGTTATTGTAAATATTCAGTTTCACTGATCTCGGGGAACGCAACGGGCAGTCCCGAGTATTGAAATAAATGTGTAATAACATGGAGACGACCATGGATCATAATGATTTAAGCAGGAATCGCCATGCAAATTGTTTGGACCAGTGGTCGGCAAATTGTGGCTGGTGGGCCGCATGCGGCTCTTTAACTGTATCTTCCTTGGTAAGTGTATGGGGTGGTGAAAACGCCCAGGGTCGATACACACGGTTAGGGACAATGAATCGACATACGCCATCGGTGGAAACAAAGATGGACTAGAGTACGGAAAAGGGAAGAGGGGAAGACAATACATTTTTTTTACTATCCTGGGCAATGCCCCGGAAATTAAATCAAGCTATATTTGCTCTTTAACAAAAAAAAAAAAAAAAAAAAATATAGTTTAATTATTTATATTCAGAATCGATTTCACTCCATGGTCAAAAGTGCCATAACAGCGATTTGTGATCCTTATGAATATATATTAGATGTCTGCGCAAAATGTCAGCTAGATTGCGTTCTCGATCTGTAATGAAACAATTGGTAAGACGACGACAGCACTGCTTTTATGAACAGCTAAATTGACAATGTAAAATGTCTCACCACGGAGAGGCTGGATTTGAGTTAGTGGCGGTTGTTAAATATGCATAGAGAAAATAAGGGTCATCAGCGCATGTATAAAACAGGGAAACAATCTGTTCGACTGATTGTGAGCATGCACAAATGACCGTGATAAAAATCGTCAGTTCTGCAGCGCCTATCCACTAGCAACAAGTTGTTTGTGATGTCGCCTTGGCATTATTCGGCTGTTATCATGGAGTTTGTTGCTGATTTACAAATACAGAGCATTTGATACACCTTAAATGGAGTTCACTGTGATTTGCGTTCGCTAACTTCCCGAAAATAATTTAGTTTTGTCAGTTGGTGTCGCGAAAGTGAATGACCAGTTCCAGAACACAATATTGTAGAAGTAGATGTTTTCTCCTTTAATAAATATTTAGTTTGTGACCGATCTGACCTTTTTACCTAAGTCAAAAGTGCCCATTATAGGGAATAGGTTATGAGACCTATTTAACACAGTTAGTTTGTTATCATTTAGTCAGTAGGTTAATTGGGTTATCATCATTGCACTCCGGACAGATCCTTCCTACAGTATGAACCCTAGCGTTTAACCTTTCACGCAGAGGATGAATCAGTCAGTTAGTTAAGTTAAATCACTCAAGAGATGCACACTGAGCGATTAATACTCAGGGATTGAAAAAGCTACCACTGTGACGTGAATTCCCCCGAGGTACAAATGTCATTCGTCATCACGCATGATCTGAACATTGAGAAGATTTGGAACACAAACACATCCTCTCTAAAGAAAGCTGAGATATTTTGGCCATGTTAAACGTTATCTGGCCTGTAGAGACAGATGCTCGGGAGCACAGTTTCAGAAAACCAGGCTGGACCTCTGTTAGCCAGGACCCAAGACACTAAAGATACATTAGCTACGAAAGCACATAGGGCTGGATCACTGGCTAGAGAAATAGATTTCCTTTGGTGCAGTGGAGACGTCCAAGTTCTGTAAGGGACAGGCCAAATGATTAAAACACCATCCTTTTTTTTTTTTTAAATCTATGAATCATTGACTTAACAAAGTCAATCAATTCAAATATCTGGAAGCAATCATACTATCAGATGGAAAATGTGCGTCAGAGATTAAAAGCAGAATAAGTCGAGCGAAAGCTGCATTTCAGAAAATGAAAAATATCTTAAGAAAGAAATATATCTCATTTAATGTCAGAAAGAGGGTGCTAAAATGTTGAACCTGTTCTGCTACATAGCAGCGAATTGTGGAATATCATTGAGCAAATTAGGAAAAAAATTATAAGCAACAGAGATGTGGTTTCTGAGGCGAATTTTAGGAATACCTTGGACGACCAGAGTGACTAACGATTACTTGAAAAAAAAAGCTTCTGAAAATAGATCTCTATATACAACAATAAGAAAGAGACAAACGTTGTATTCTTTCGCCACCTAATGAGAACAGAGACATTGGAGAACATCGTGACAACCGAAGCTACAAGTGGAAAAAGGGGTAGAGGCAGACCAAGAGAGATGATGCTGGATGTGTTGAAACGATGGCATGGAGGGATATCATCAAGAGAGCTGTTCCAGGCAATTAGGGATCGTGATCTGTGGAGATGCATGGGCGCCTATGCCAGTTGGCAGGGCACATCATGATGATTATGATAATATTAAAAAAAAATTTTTTTTTTTAAATTGATAATCAGCATACATTATCTGTATCTCATTAAAATCAGCACATGGTGCACATTTACGCAGTCTGTGCACTCTAAATCTAGAGTATTTATCTTAATTTCGTTCACTTACCAGGATAAGAACCTGAGACCAAATATGTTTGTTGAGACAAACACTAGGATTGCCTATTATTTTCTCTGAATGTTTCTGTCATAGCTAAGAAAATAGCACAAAAAGTTTATCCGCTTGCAAAAATTCAGCACTTTCTAGACGAAGATGCAAAAAAAGTATTTTACGCGTCTCACATCCAAACACATGTCGACTATTGTTCCACAGTTTGGGATGGTTGCGCCAAATCCAATGTTAAAAGACTAAGTTCTCTTCAAAACCGTGCTTTAACGCCTAGTTTCAGATAATAAACAAATTGTAAAAAATAATCTCTATAACCATCTAAGACTATTGCCATTTAGAAAACGTTTTATTTTTAACAAGTCAAAATTTATTCATAAAATTGTATCTCAAAATACTCCAAACTACCTTTTCCGATTAATTAAATCAAATCCTATAAATAGCAAGCGACTAAATTTATTAAATTTACCTAAACCTAGAATAGATTTATATAAAACAAGTTTAGCGTACTCCGCAGCTCATTTGTGGAACCAACTTCCACTAGACCTGAAAAATTCTAAAAGTCCCTATTCATTTAACCGTAAACTTTTTCAATTTATACTTACAGCGATTATATGCCACCTTGAATGTAATGTAACCCATATTGCATTATCAATTTATTATTAAACATAGTGTGTATGATATGTATGTTTGCACGCGCGCGTGTGTGATATGTATGTATGTGTAGGCGTGTACATATATGTACATATGATTCTGAGTATGTTGTTTGTCTGCTTGTGTATCTGCGTGTGTGTCTGCGAATGTATACGTGTGCGTCCTTGTGTGTGTGTGTGTGTGTGTGTGTTCGCGCGTATGTCCACATGTATGTTTCAGTATGAATTGGTCTGTGCGTGTTTCTGTGTGTTTAAGTGTGCCTCTTTGCTGTGTATGTGTGTCTGCGTGTGTGTGTGTGCGATTGGATCCATGTAGCTGTGTATATGTGTCTCTGTGTGTGTCTCTGTGTTTGTCTGCATGTATGTGTGTGTGTCGGTGTTTTTCTGCATATTTCATGTGACTGTGTGTATATCTTCGTTTGTGTCTGTGTGTGTCCTCGTATTGTGTTAGTCTGCATGTTTGCCTGTGTATGTTCATGTGTTTTGTCTTCGGGTGTGTCTATGAGGCTGTATGTATGTATCTTTGTGTGTGGGTGTCTGTATGTCTGTCTGCGTGAGTGTATGTGTCAGCATGTGTCCGTCTGTGTATGTCTATGTGTGTTTCTCTGTGTGCATTGTGTGTGCCCCTTTGTTGTCTGTATGTGTCTGCATGTCAGAGTATATGTCTGTGCGTGCTGAATAAATGTGTCTGCGTGTGTATTTCTATGTGTTTGTATGTGTATGCATTTCTGCGTGTTTGTCTGTGTGGGTGTCAGATTGTGTTTGTCTGCCTGTTTGTTTTGTGTGTGTGTGTGTGTGTGTGTTTGACTGCGTGTGTGTCTATGTGGCTGTATGTATGTGTCTGCATGTTTGTCTGCGTGTGTGTGTGTGGTGTGTGTGTAAGTGTGTGAGCACGAATGTAAATATGTGTGCTGTGTGTTTTCCTGTGTGTGTTTATATGTAAGAGTCTGTGTGTGTGTCTATATTTTTGTCTAATTGAGCGTGTGTGTCTTTGTGGGAGTGTCTCCATGCATGACTGTATGTTTGTATGTGTGTATGCCTGTATTACGAATGTATGCCTGTATGTTTGTATCTATGTATGTTTGTTTGTATGTATGTATGCCTGTGTGTATGCCTGTTTGCATGTTTGTTTGTATGTATGTACGTATATATGTATGTATGTAATGTTTGCATGCATGTATGTGTGTGTGAGTGGGTGATCGTGTGTATGTGGGTGTATGTATGCACGCGCGGGTTTTTTGCATGCACTTTACAACTCATGCTTTTGTGTTCTTTTATAATATTCATAATATGCATATTATCATATGATCATAACATGCTTCATTAGTAAAAATTCAATGCTGTGCGAAAGATGGTTGACTGGAAGGGCCGAATGTAAGACGGGCCTGCGTGCCCAATTTGTGACCCTTTGAAAATAAAGTTCGTTCGTTCGTTCGTTCGTTCTGAAAAGTAAACCTGTTTCCATTGTAGACATCAACAATGGATCCAGCCACCCAAGGACCAGTGATCATGTCACGCAGAAGTGCCTTGACTTTTAGTGTTTTCGCCTGAGCCAAAGGCATGCGCTTCACATCAATGTTCAGGGTACGCTGAAGACCCCAACCGAACAAGTCTGCAAGCTGACAGATAGCCATATGGAAGAGCTGACCAAGATCTCTCCAACCGTTTGACACCGCTATACTGGGCACTTTTGTTGGTTAACGTTGATGGTGCTGTTGGTTTTGTATTGTAGTGAATATTTCATGCACTGGCATTGTGTGAACTGTGATTGTTTGGGACGTACTGCTGGAAAAAAAAGATGCACCGGTTGAAAGGCAAATTGTAGCCTGGATTGAAACTGAAATAACCGTCCTACCAAGTTATACTGGTGCATTTGTCGGTTAAATGTGATGGTATGATGGTGATTATTTTGTTCTGCACTGATATTGAGTGAACTGTAATATTTCAGAGTGAACAATTGGAAAGTTTGACACTGTTGCAGAGCAGCTTGCAGCTCGTACTTGTAAGCGAGTATGAAATATCTGTGCTACACAATTATTATGATGCATATGACGGACAACGGTGATGATGCTGACGGTTTGTTGGTGATTTTTGTTTTCTGCACTGATATTGCGTGAATTGTGAAATTTCAGAGTGTACTGTTGGAAAGTTTGGCACTGGTTGCAATGCTTCTTGCAGCCCGAATTGTGAGCGAGTGGGAACTGCAGTCTTCATCCAGTGTGACCACGTTGATGGCACCTGTACACATGGGTGTAAGGTTGGATACGCTGGACGCAGCTGTGAACAGGGTTTGTGCATTTGGTTGTCACGTTTCGCGTATGATTTACCGAAATTGTTGGGCAAGTTTATTTCAATTTCTTTTAACCGGGTCGGTCTACAATAAAGCCAACCTGGCCGTCCGACAACTCAGAGAATGCTATGTCGGTAGTCCAGACTGAACAGGGAAACTACTCGGTATGAGTTCTTTAAAGATGGCTCTAGCCGTTTGAGTTTCACCTGTGACTTGGTTTTGACCGATCCTGGGCCTCTTGGCCAAACCAGCGCAACAGAGCTACACTTTGATCTTAGCCAAAGGGCTGAGACTGCAAGTTTGTTTTAGGGGGAATTATCCAAAAAGCGTATCCTTTACAGGACGTTTGCAGAACCAACTCCAACAGCTGCTGGTTGTTGTGTGGTTTTCTAGGCAAATTTACGTCCAGTAGTTTGCCACTGCTTTCTAAATGGTCGGCTTTCTTGACACCACTGTCGAAACCAACGCAAAGCGCATGGCCCGCAGCTGGGATCGAACCCAGCACCCCGGCATTACGAAGCGTTCGCATTGACTTAGCCACAGAGCCGACATCTACATTGAAAGATAAGTAAATATAGACAGTATGTTCATCCCACTTCCTCCCCTCGCCATCCCCACTCCCATGTTTAAAAAAAAAATTATTTTAACCTGCTCAGACAGAATGTTGACGAAGGTGAAAAAGGCATGTTTCAAGCAAAGTGGCATGCTTAGCTTCGGATGTCACGGGTGAAGAGCATTTTCTGAATCTTTTCTCCGGGTTAGCCGATGTGTTGGGAACTAAACAGGCATACAGATTGGCTGGCTCTGCACAACGTGGTGGAATGTCGATGCATGATAAGGCATACATGGTTAAGGTCTTATGGAACACACGTACAATTCAGGATACAAATTGATCATCACAGTCTAGTGAGAGTGATGATGTAGCGAGGTGGGGAGGGGGAATTTGGCTGATACTTGACGCTCAGAGGAAAGGCATTGTCGTGAGATGAGCAGCCACCATACACAGTGGACGAGTCGGGACATTATATCCCTCGCGCTCAGCAAAATTTCAAACTTAGACTCGTCCGGGAAGGGTATATAGTCCCTTATATTGATCTATACCCTTTTCTGATAAAATATTCATTTCTCGACCTTCTAGTTGCTTTAATATATCTTCATTTTCAAACTTGCAACTGTGGGTTGGCGAATTCTGGTATTTTATTTAGAAATGCCTGTAAACCAGTTTAGTCCTTGTTCATGAATACAGGGAACTTCTTTCCTATTGACGCTAAGCGTAGTTTGAAGCGGGCAATTTCTGCCTGACTGCCTAGAAGAACAGATGTTCTTAACTGTGCCTCGTACATCTATGCTTTGAGGAGGCGGCCTTTGGTGTCTAGGATATTTCTTAAGCTTGGGTAAGTTGATTATAGTTTACGAGTACCATAATTGATGTCTTTTTAAAGTTGACCACTGCTGTAGAGAGGGCAGAGTCAGCTGTGTGATTGCGCAGAGTTCGACCGTTCTTGATGTCCGGAGATCAGGATCCGAACCTTAGACCTTCCCCTGTACAGACTAAATGGTTTGTGCTCTACATAACCCACACCATTTGTAAAGATATTAAACCCTACAAGTAATTATTCTATAACCAAATGTAGGATTTGTATCTACTAATAGACACATGGGAACTGGGTCATATTTAGCCGGTCATATATATATGAGAGAGAGAAATGGGATGTATATCTACCAGAGCGTGTGGGCGAGGAGAGTTGATGTTCTCTGTTTGATAGTCTATCTGTCTCCACTCTGACACTCATCTCCTGTCACTGTTACTGACTGAACAATAGAGATGATATGTAGAGACTTATACTGTCTCATTATCCTCAGAGCTGTCCTCTGAATGATTACTAATGTGGATGTTAATAAACTGAGCTTGACATGTAACACCTGAGATGGCTGCTAATTCTGAGTTCCTTCTTGATACAGGATGATATTTCATTGGAAGCCAGGCAGTGAATCAGCAGTCCACAAAACCACCTACAAAGAAGTCACCTATGTCTAAGCCAGTGGTGGGCATCAGATGGTGAACCTAACTGTGGTCATCAAGTAATGAAATCCTCCAGTTGGTCTACAGACAACATTATGGGTGTACCTCCATCATCATTTATCCGGCAGTTTGTTTGTGCCTCAAGTGTTTGACTTGGTACCTGAGATCCTCTCCAGGAGCTTGGGTGTATCTCCGGTGTTCGATTGTCTAGTGTGGGACTGTCTTGAACATAACAACAGAGTGACTGAACATCCGGTCAGTTCAAGAAACCAGGGATTCAGATAAGTGTGGACGATCATGGGTTTATTGCCAGGCTTCACTATTAAAAGTTCACATTCACTATAAGGATGATGTAGGCAGACCCTGAAACATCCATACATGTGCAGTCAGATCTAGTTGAAGTTTTGGTCCTTCATATCACTCTGGGTTCTTGAAGTTCTTTGTTGATTCTTATATAATGTATGTGTTACACTTATAACAGTATTTCTAAAGTTTCACTATTGACTGGAGTGTCACTCATTCATTGTTCTTAGATGTCTAAAATACATGTATGTTCAATTAATGATATTTATCTGTGTTAACATGGTTATGATAGTATGCTATCATAACCTGGGGGCTATCTTTTTATAGTAGTGGGGGTCTCCAGCAAAGTGTGCCTAGGAATATTGTATATTTTGTAGTGCCAAAACTTGAGTTGCCCTACTCCTGAAATAAGTTGAGCGTATATTGGCCACGGGGCATCCCTTAGACCAATACGAGTCAACGACTCAACATAATTATTTCAGAGTGCTGTTGGTTCTTAAGGAGAAATCCTTAAATCAGGCACGTGACAGGAGTGATATGTGACAGGCAAGACGGACATATTATTTGCCTGCTACTGGCACAACTGGCATTAAAACTTCGCGTTGGCTGCTAAAGACAGAGACGTGGCGCTTATGGAAATGCCTCGAGTGGTATGATGTCGGTTCTTGAATCATATCAACGCAGCAATAATGTTTTTTGTAAATTGTAAATTTTCAGTATGTGGTGTCGGATACTTTGGTAAAAATTGCAAATCAAAGTGCAGCCAGAATTGTATGGAATCCAAAGACGTAAAAATATCCCCATGTCATCGTGAAACTGGGGCTTGTATCAGGGGATGCAAGGCAGGCTTTACTGGAGACACATGTAACAGCGGTAAGTGGTTCAACTTTTTAAACTGAACACGTGGGCTCTTCCTAGATAACTTCGCAATGAAGGATGTCACTTAACTACTGAACATTTAAAACAGTTTTAGTTTATATGACGATAGTGAACGAAAACATTGGCTCTGTTTGCTTATTTTCTTCTGAGATGCAAGAAACAAACAGCCTGCCTACAAGAAAACTAGATCTGTAAAACTATTCGCACACAAAACTCAAGTTCTGAAACAAGACTAAACATAAGTTTTCGCTTGAGGTAACTATTGGTCAAATTGTAGAAGAAGACATTGACAGCCATTAATCACCACGTATTGCGAAACACATGTCCCTCCATAGATTTAAACCGAACATCTTCGATTGGGTTTTGATACCCCATTGTGGGGGAAAAAAAAGTATACACTCACTGCTTTCAAAACAAGCATGTCGTAGCAGTCGATTAACTGTAGGTTTCCTTTGAAGACGAAGTACATCTGCAATATGAAAAGGAAACCAAACTGATAGTCATTATTCTCATCAAACATTTTAAAAACACTGACAAAGGTCGACAGTTTTGCATTTTGTTCAGTGTTTGAAGATTTCATCCCTAAGATGGACACCACCTTGTCAAGCAGTCATGTTCAGTATAGTCTTGTGCACGGTTCTAGATATGATGGCCCTCTATCCCCTTAGAATGGTGTCCAGTTTATTGATGGAAGTGGGCAATAAAAGAAAAGTGTAACAGTAACTCTCACCGTTAGACTTCCTGTTAAGTTATATCTAAAACATTCTTGATAGTTATTACGATAGTTATAAGAAGTTTAAATATAAATGTGTCCCATCAATGTGACCCACACTGTACATGCCTATGGAAAATCTTTCAGAATGTAGTGTCGGCATGTATGGTGACGGCTGCAACTTGACGTGTAGTGTGAATTGTGTGGAATCCCGCCAGGCAAACATATCAAAGTGCGACATCTCAACTGGGGCTTGTTTTATCGGCTGTAAGAGTGGATTCTATGGAGAGACCTGCAAAGACGGTGTGCACTTAGTTGTCTTTCTTGTGTTGGTACTATTGTTTTCTGCCCTGTGTTTATGTAATGCCCACTGATTTAACTCTAGTCAGAATAGACACCCACAGCTTCTTCCTCTTCTTTTTCTTCCTCTTCTTCTTCCTTCGTCCTCTGCATCTGCATCTGCTTCTGCTTCTACATCTGCTTCTGCTACTGCTTCTGCTGCTTTTACTACTGCTATTATAGGTAAATAAAATTATGTACATTTTTACAAGACTAGTTTACCGTGTAAGCATGATCTGTATACACTTTTGATTTACATTAATAGTTCTTCGTGTCAACAAGAGAGTTATGGCTTTTTTTTTTTTTTTTTTCAAACAAGACTCTTTCACAGTGTGAACAAGAACTGTAAGGACTGACTATTTCCTCCTCTCAGCTATTACCTCATGGATTGACACTTTGAGATTACGAAATGTCAATCTGAGTGGTAGATTAGCGTGGCGAATCACAGAAACTCTGTTCCCGAGAAGGCTAACCTAGGCATCAATCGCATATGGAAATCAGATGTTTCGGCCGAGAGTCGCAAATAGCACAACCATGTTGTAAACGCATGCAACGCATTTTTATCTTCTGATAAACGAAGAAGAAGAACAAAAAGATAAAAAAAAAGAAGAAAAAAAAGAAGAAGAAGAAGAAGAAGAAGAAGAAGAAGAAGAAGAAGAAGAAGAAGAAGAAGAAGAAGAAGAAGAAGAAGAAGAAGAAGAAGAAGAAGAAGAAGAAGAAGAAGAAGAAGAAGAAGAAAAAG